AGAACGGCAATTTTTTTTGGCCAGAAAAACGCGTTACTTCTTCCCATCAAACGTCCGGGAAAGTCTACGCCACCGTTTTTTCTGTTTAGGGTTCCGACGGACAAAGAAAGTGAGCTGATGCGTAGCACCAGCAATTCATCTCAAAGAGAGAGCTTCTTCTAGTTCTTCTAAAATGGAAAACGCAGAACCAGAAGAGCCACAGAAGAAGAGGCCTCATTTGGACCATGTCGAGACGGCTCGTAACTCCACCTTTCAAATTAACAACAAATCGGTAATCCCTCTTTTCCCCCTGTTTGTTTACCAAGAAAATAAAAGAATCTGTTTTAAATTTTTGAGGTTTACGAGCTTTAATTTTCTAATTTCTCCTTGGTTAATGCGTAACTGATGAAATTGTTGTATTGTTTATCTCTTCCTTTAATTTTATTGTTATATTTTGAAGTTTTTGAGCTTTTCTAAAACAGCATGTTGGATTAATTATTCATCAAATAAATTAGCAAATAAGCTAGAGTTCGAGATCAGGAGCTTGGAGAGTATCTTCAAGCTCGAGCTCAACTCTTCCAAGTTGATGAAACTCGAGCTTAAATACTTCAGTACTTGGCTCGGCGTAACGACATTCCCTTTCCTCCCTCCAGCAAATCGTCCCATATCCTTCTTTCTATATTAGGAACATTGCCCCATTCCCTATTGTTACTGGTAATGCAGAAATTTAAGTTCAGTTATTAGTTTTTAATAAGTCTCTTGATATAAGATAGACATTTCTTAGTTTCCATGTTTGAGGCATAAGTAATTTGAGTTTGTTGCCTATGATCTCCTTTACGATGATGGCCTCGTTCCTTTGTAGCTTTAGGAAAACTTTAATTCCTTTTTGAAACTATGAAACACCGAATGTCTTAGATATCTTCTTAGTTAGTATAGTTTGAAATTTGATTAGTTAATTGATTTGTATCTTTGTTGATTGGTCCATATAGATGTAATATGAACTGTAACTTATAGATCCTATATGTTGTTCATATTTGACTCAGCGTAGGGGTGTTTTTGATATGAAATTTCTTCCATAGGGCATGGGAAAGAAAATGTGCCCAGACTTGAGCAGGGACATTCTATGGGACATACTGTTTCGATTACCCTTTAAAAGTCTGGTGCGATTCAAGTGTGTATCAAAGACATGGGATTGTGCTATAAACGACCCATGGTTTGTCAAATCTCACCACCAGAAGCAATCTACTAAAGCCAACAATAAGATCGTTATCACAAAAGGGAGAAGGCTGTTCTTAGCAGACATCGAGTCCCTTGACGTTGAAGAATTCATCGATTTTCCTTCTGAGTTGCAGCTGCAAGGTTCGTGCAATGGCTTGATTTGCTTGACTGATAGATCTGAATCTGAAATAATTCTATGGAACCTGTTGACTGAAGATCCCAAGCACATCAAACCAGTATCCCTTCAACAGGATAGATTGAGATATTCCTATCAAGGATCTGTTTATGGTTTTGGATATGACTCCAGTAATGATGATTACAAGGTGGTGAGGTTTTCTACTTTTTTCTACATATCTAGGGGAATCACACCAAATGCATGGGTTTATAGTTTGAGAAAGAATGCATGGAAGGAAATTGAAATCCCTCCAACATTTGATTTTATAAGGGCGAGAAATGGAGTATTTACTTGTGGTGCTCTTCATTGGTTAGGAGAATCCTTTTTGGAGGACCAGAAATTTATCTTTGCAGTTGATCTTGAAACCGATATATTTCGGAAGGTGCCACTACCAGATTCATTGGTTGGTTTGAGAACCTCATTGAACATAGGGGTGCTTGGAGGGTGTCTAAGCGTGACAAGCTTGTTGCCGCAGCATGGCGTATGGGTTATGGAACATTATATGTTGAAGGAATCTTGGACTAATTTATTTTCGATTTTGGCCTATAAAATTGCACGGCCAATTTCTTATTCAAGGGATGCTAGAAAAGTCCTCTTGCAAGAGGAAGGCAATATGCCTTACTGGTATGATCTTGAAAGGCAAAATTTCTCTCAGCTTGGGATTTGTGGTTTAGGATGGGGTTATTGTGTTGTTGAAAATTATTTAGAAACCCTTGTCCCAGCAAGTGGTTATGGGAGAAATTACACTGACCTCTGATCTGATTTTAGCAATGGTAGAGGCAAAGTACTGCTAAGAGTAGTTTCCAAGAAAATTCAATGTAGCTACTGTATTAGACTTTAAGATTCTAAGTTAAAGTTGTGTTTTTGAATTTTGGGATGAGTCAAGAGAGATGGGGTAAAGTGCAATCATATCTTAGTGGAGTTTAGTGGAATTTATCAGACTAATTATGTGTATAACCTTTTTATGTTAGTGCCCCTAGTGGTGGTTCAACTAGTGAAGAACTTAGAGCTCTAGCTAGAAGGTCTCAAATTTGTACTTTTGAGTCAAGTTGGGAGGGATTTGTGAAAAGGTGAGAGTTATTCTTTCTTTTATACCTCATCATGTAATTACATTGGGAAAAACTGCCTGGTATAATAAAATAACCGCATATAGTGGCCAATACTAAGAGGCTCCTTGAGCTTTCTAATTTTCTGTACTTATTTGTCAATTCTCATGACAAGAAATTGGTGCAATGTGCAAGTTTTTGCATGATTAGCAACTGAGAAATAAATCTACATTAATTAGAAATAGAATTAGTAGAATAGTTATGGACTTATGCTCTTACAAACTCATATATCCAGCTATCTATTTGGAGGCAGAAGATTGCACTAGAAGTTGCAATTTTGCATTATGCAAGATAATGGGAAAATATGGAATTTTGCCCCTAAAAGAATAATTTTCACCATTGAATAAACTTCCTGATAAAACTTGGTAAAAACCAACATTTAGCCTGTCACCTTACAAAATTGGTAAGTTTTAGCCTTTCACCTTATAATATGATAGTTTTAGCTTTTTATTTTATAAAATTGGTAAGTTTTAACCCTTGATTTTACAAATTTGGTAGGTTTTAATCTCTTACCTTATATTATGATATTTTTAATTCCTCATTGATACGAATTAAAGAAAATAGCCCTTAGTTAACATCAGGTTATAATGTTATGTTAGTTCTGTTAGTTGACTGTTAACATTCGTTAGCATTTCGTTATAAAAAACATGAAATTTAAATTCAATTTTATTTGTTAGTTCCATTAACGGAATGTTAATAGGTGTTAACAATCAATTAACGGAACTAACAATTAACTAACAAAATTGACAGTTAGTTAACAGAATTGACAGTCAGCTAACAGAACTAATAAAACATTATAACCTGATGTTAAATAAGGGTTATTTTCTTCAATTCATACAGATAAGGGGTTAAAAGTGTCATAATATAAGGTAAGAGATTAAAACCTACCAACTTTGTAAGTTAAAGGGCTAAAAGTGTCATATTATAAGGTTAGGGGTTAAAACCTATCAATTTTGTAAAGTGAGGGGCTAAAAGTTGGTTTTAGCTGATAAAACTCTTGTGGCAAATAAGCCCCTAAAGTTGCAGTCTGCAACAAATTTGCAGAGTGAACAGAAGGGTGAACAGCTGACCATGTTCATTAGTATCTGATCCGTCATTTCACCTTGCACACATTTGTTCTTCGGACACATTTGGAAGATTACAACTTTGTGGGCTTTTTTTGTCACTTAAAAGTTTCATCATTTAAAAACCACGTGCGAATAAATAGACTGAAAGTAACTACCACCTGACCTGACCAGTAAATGGCCCTCTACAACCACTTTGGGCACAATTAAGGCCTAATTGATTTGAAGGAAGGGGAGGGGAGGGGAGGGGAAGGAAAACTACTTTAACTTATTAAATTAAGTTGTTATGCTAACATTTTAACTTTATCAGATGAAATGGTCCTTCCCTCAATCTCAGTGCCTATCACAACTAGGGCTTTAAGTGGGTTGAGAACTGCTTACGAGTCAAACTCAACTCAACTCAACTTAAGCTTATTTTTTAAGGGAATCAAGCTTGAGGGAATGGGATTGACTAATTAGTTTATGTTGTTGGGTAAATATCTTATTTTTTTTCACTCCCCTTCCCTCGACTTTCTGTTAACCAAACCAACCATTACCTTTTAACCTTGCTAATAACTTAATTGAAATGTTTCTGGCAAAAAAAAAGGCTTAATTAAAATACTTAGAAGGTATTCTAAGTGGTTAAAAACATGAAATTACAAATTCAAAATTTTAAGTTCGAAATTTAAAATAAACAAGGAAAAATTAAGGAAATGAGATGATGATTTTCTGTTATATACCTCATTATGTAATAATACAAAAAAAAAAAAAAAAAACAAAAAACAAAAAACAAAAAACAAAAACAAAAACAAAGCCTGGAACATCCCTGATCAAGCCCGGTAAACGCAATGGTTAGGTAACATAGGGTGCTTGGAGGGTATTTTGGTGTTACAATTGTGTTGCCAGAGCCAGACACTGGATTTAGATTTCTGGGTGAAGTATGGGTTATGAAACAATATATGTGAAGGACCATTGGACTAAATTATTTTCAATTTCAACTAATATTATTGCATCGCAGATGGCTTATTCAAGGGATGTTAAAAGAATCCTGATGCAACCGAAAGAGGTTCCCAAAATGCCTTTCCTGTAAGACCCAGCAAGGCAAAAATTGTCTTCAGGTTGATTTTAGTGATTTGGAAGGGGATTTTTGTGTGGCTGAAAATTATTTGGTAACCCTTGTCCCAGCAAGTGCTTCTAGTGCCACAAAAGAGATAATACAGTGAGTACTGATTTGATTTTGGCAATGGTAGAAGCAAAGTGGTGCTAAAAATGGGGTGTTTGAAAGTTGATATTGGGTGTCGCATTAGAGTTTAAGATCCTAAGTTAAAAGCGCATGTTTACTTTGTTTCTTCTTTTCTTTCAAGAACAGATCCAAGGCTTGCTTTGATTCTTAAGGTTTTATTTTGCTTAATTAGAATCATCAGAATGGTTATGGTTAATGTATCCGCCAAAGACTGGACTAGAAGCTACAATTCTGCAGTCAGCAAGACAATAATTGGAGCTCATAATTAAAATACGTTGAGGTAAGCAAGTAACCGAACCTAGCCTTTGTTAACCTCATGCATTCTCAGAAATCCACCTCCACAAACTCACGTAGTACAAGATTAAGTTCACTTAATTTCCAAAACGCCAATTTCTTGTTCTTTGCATGAAATCTGACTCTTAGATTGTTAAGCATGTACCCAAAACTAAATAATTCTAGACGTTAGACCCACTGCATAGACAATGCATTATGTTATGGAATGCCATGAACCAGAATAACAACAAAACAAGATAACAAGCACTACAAAGAGATAATTCCACTACTCAAGGTAAAAAGAGAAAAAGATGCATTCTTGGTTAGTTTTTTCCGAAATTCTTGCAGCATAGAGGAAATGACAAGGCATTTAACAAAAATGGTTGTAAACCCTAACATAGCCATCAACTTCAGAATATTATAATTACCAATTCCCTATGGTTTATCTATGTATCTTCTTAGGGTAGAATTTGATTGATCACTTCATCAAACTAGAGTGAATAAGCACCATTCGCATAAGCATGAGATTGGAAAGAATTATAATTAAGACAAACAATTTTCATCTCCATTGTTCTATCTCAAAACTGGGAATTGTTCATACGGTTACTGAGAAATGTCACAGAATCAGCGTTAAGAACGTCCTAGACAAGTTCAATGTATGCCATGGGTGCATTGTCTCCTCGCCTTGGAAGTGTTCTGATAATTCTGGTATATCCACCATCTCTATCCCCATACCTGTCCGGCACCTCAGCAAATAAGGCATGGACAATCTGCTTCTCATAAATGAACCCTAGTGCCTGCCTCCTCTTGTGAAGAGAACCATCCTTCGCTAAGGTGATCATTTTGTCAACATACTTTCTAATGGCACTTGCCCTTGTCCTGGTCGTCTTAATCCTACCATGTTTGAGGAGCTGAGTCGTAAGGCCTCGGATAAGTGCCCGTCGCTGGTCAGGAGGCCTGTTGAGCTTTGGTACTCGTCTGCCATGTCTCATGGCAAAAAATCGAGAACCATTATCAACAATGGTGAAATTGCTCCCAAAACTGGTTCGATCTGCAAGTGCTTACATGGTTAGAAACATAAAAATCTAAATGCTACAATAGAATCCCACAAGAACCTAAATCCAAAATAATCAGCTAATCCAAATTTAAACTTAGATGAACCAAAGGTTTCATTTTTTTCAACAACACCCCAGCAAAGATGGCTGTTTATAGTTATACAGAACAAAATCAGACAAAAACGACAAAACGAAAGTCTTGAATCCTGATTACATTACTTAGAGTGTATTTTCAATTGCTGATAATCTTGTTATTTATAATTCAGAGTATGTAATCTGTTCGATTAGAGTCAACAGTTGATAGCTATTTTCCAAACTCTAAAACAAACACCCACATGGTCTAATCCCGAAATTAAGGTTCTATGATTAGCAGTGAAAAGGAAATTAGGAAGACAAGCATTTTGAGACAATATAAGTACAAGGAAAAATTAAACTACGGAGAATTAAGAAAAGAGGAAAATGGAGTAAATTTGTGGTACCAGAAAAGCCAAGAGACATGAGGGGGTTCACCGGAGAGAGACCCACGTAAGAGCGAGCAAGGGAATGGCATTTGGTGGCACGGGAAGGAACTCTCACAGAAGTTGATTTGAGTGGAGGAAGAGCTGCGCGCAGTGATGCCATGCTCCACCAGCCGGTTCTATTGGCCGTGGTCGGTGCCGTTGCCATTGTCATAGCCATCGCCATGTGCGACGATCGATTGAAGGCGCTTCGTTGTTAGACTGAAAAATCTCCGGCGTGGGCAGGAAAAGGATAAGGTATCAGTTTCCGTCTTTCGGGGACGACGGATTGTGGATTCATTCCAATTGGGCCTCTCTCAATTTTTCGAATCTTTATTAACTTTGGGCCTTACCCAAACTACAAAACAAATAGACAAGGATGAGCATTTTGGTATCTGTGATACTTTGATATGGTGGGGTAGGTATTGATCTATACTTAACAAAAGAGACCGTTAAATATTATATTGGTTTTAAAAAAATGTGTATTTATCAAGTATCGAGTTAATATGCCTATAAACTTGATATGTAAAAATAAAAAATAAATATTTGTATATATAAAAAGTGTTTGTCAATTGAATATTTTAAAAATTAAAAGGAAAATGCCAAAAAAAAAAAACATATTTATCAAATATCATGTCAACTTATAAGTTGTATCTAAAAATTATTAGGTAGAAGAATATTTTAAAATTATGTTGTAACTATGTCATTTTAATAATTTTTTATTAAAAAAACTAAAATATCTTAATTTTTTGAAAGCAAAGATGGTACTATTTTAATTTTTTCTTACGATACTCAATTAAAACAACATACTTCCTATGTAAAAGCTTTTTTTTTTTAATTAATAATTTTCAAATTCAATTATTGAATTAAAAAATTTATTTATATAAACCATACCTATCAATTTTATATTGATGTAATATTTATAACCATTTAATAGGAGAAATTATGTTTTTCTTACACAAATGTGGCATAAAATTCTTGAATATAAATGAAGTGGTTAAACCTATTCAATCAATGTAAAATTTAACATGTATAATCTACATGATGAATAAAAAAAATTAACCCAACAATCAATTTCTTAAAATTTTATATGTACTAAATATTATAGATTTGTGGAAGACTTTCTTATTCTTAGATGTGCAATCTCCCTTTCAAGTAAAATAAGAGATTTATAAATTTTATATGTAAACATATAGGAAAGATGAATAAAAAAATAAAAAAATAGTTTTTTTTTATACAATTTAACATAATAAAAGAAAAAGACATGGGCTAACTCAAATTTGAAATTTGAAACCTATTTATTTTTTTTAGTAGTAATAACAAGAGTTCAGAGCGTGCACAATCTTCCATTATTCTTTTTTCAAATATATATAGATATAGACAGAATTCTACTCTATGAGAGCTCGAACTTTTCTCTAAATAGAGAAGAAGCTCAATTTTTATCTTTTAAGCATTAAAACATTACAGCACTCAACATGTGCTAGGCGCTGCAGCATGTCACGCCTTACATGATTTTTCTTTTACTCTCAATTTTCTAATGTTTGATTGAGTAGTACATTTAAAAATTAATTATATAAAAAATATAAATTTATATAAAATAATATTAATTACAATAATATCATTTCCATTAAAAAAAAAAAAAGAACCTTTTTCATTCTTACTATTGATGCTCTTTCCCCATCCACAAGGCCCCACTTAACTTTCCTTAATTTATGCCATGGATAAATAGGAAAAGAAGATTGGGGAAAGATGAAGCGAAAGGCAAAAGCAACCACTCTCATTTTCAAACCACAAAGGGGGAAAGAGTTGAAAAAAACAACAACCACTCTCCTTTCCTGAATTTGGACTCTGCTTTTGTAAAATTCTAACGTATTTTACTAACTCCCATGTTCCAGGTCCAACCTCCCCTGCTATGAATTCATGCATCCTCAAAAAGATTCTGGGGTGGATCAATTATTAAAATTTAAAGCCTTTCTTCCTCTCTCTTCCACTCGTTCTGTTCCAGTACAGTTTAGACAGTGAGTAAAAAAAAAGGGGGAAAAAATTCTACTGGAAATACTCATTCATATGTTACCGTCAAAGACTGTCTGTAGGGGAAATTTGGGGAAGAAGAAACTTGTAACCCAAGAATGAAACTCAGAGAAAAATGGGTAATTGTGGTACTAGAGAGGAATCTGCTGTTGTAAATGCTCAAGGTTCTTCTTTCTCAGATCTAGAGCTTCTGCTTTTACCTTTTTCCCTTGTGTCTGTATCTGGATTTTTGCGTTATTTTGAGGAAATTCTTGATTTCTTCATTTTTGTTTGATTCAATGTTTGTTTTGGAATACCCAAGTGGTGATTTTTGATGGGTGTGAGTTAATTCGGATTTTGCTGTTGATTTGAAGCTAAAGTTGAAAACTTGAAGTGAATGTGAGTTTTCTGGAACTTCTCTTTTTTGGCAGTTCAACAGCTCCACTCGCCGGTGAAGGCAGCTCCATCCTACAAGAAGCAGAACTATAATCGTACGGTGTCAGATCTGAGCGATCCTTCCACACCACGCAATTTTGAGGACTCCAGGAAGAATGCTGTGCTTTACACCCATGTAATTGCCTTCACTTTATACGAGCTCGAGACGATTACCAAGAGTTTCCGGTCCGATTACATTCTCGGGGAGGGTGGTTTTGGGACGGTGTATAAGGGTTACATAGATGAGAATGTGAGGGTTGGTCTCAAATCTCTGCCTGTTGCGGTAAAGGTTCTTAACAAGGAAGGCCGTCAAGGCCACCGTGAATGGCTTGTATGTCTCTTCTCTGATCATCTTGTTTTCTTAATTTTGCTTTATTTCCTGTTCTTTGAAGGGTCAATGCTTTGTTCTAACTCTGACTTAAATGGTGTCTGCAGACGGAGGTCAACTTTCTTGGGCAACTTAGGCATCCTAATCTGGTTAAGTTGATTGGATATTGCTGTGAGGATGATCACAGATTACTTGTATATGAATTTATGTTCCGAGGAAGCCTTGAGAATCATCTTTTTCGAAGTAGGCATTTTTCCCTTCACTCCTATTTAGGTTTTCCCCTGCAGTTTAAATACTCTCAGTTCATCGATTGTTGTTTATGGTTCAGCTATAGTGTTATCTATCCATCTCGTATACTTTGTGAGCAAGCAGAATATGCAATTCTGCTTGTTCTTGGAACCTATCAAGAGATTATCCTACCCCGGGACCTTTCACCTACTTCGTGTTCTTCTGACTTCTGTCATGAACATGCATGTCTAGAACTTGAGCTGTAAGAAATTAGTCTTTTTTCTATTTTTCTGTTCAACCATTCCATTTGACTGTGAGATCTTTTTTGTTAAGCCCTTTCATCCTTACACCATCTTGATTCATTTAGTGATGTTAGAAAACAGTTGTGCTTGAGTGGGAAGATAGAACTGTAATCTAAAAGGCACATATCTGAATCCATGATGACTGTTCTGATTCTCTTTTGGAAAATAAAAAGGCTAATTATAGAAGTCCTTTAACAACTTGAATCTCCAAGTGCTGTCATAAAAACGAAACCTTTGCTCTAGCTGTGTAGCCATTTGCCTCAACTTTTCCTAGTATGCTAAGGTGGTGTGAGGTTCCCACTCCCTAAATGAAAACCTGGAGCTGTTTTCCTCTCAAGTGGTTTGATTTCAAGTAGTGAAATCATCTAAAGTGGATATCTACTTCTCTTTGAGATCTAGGCTTCTTCTCCAATTTAAACTATTAATATTGGATAGTTGTGGCTGAAACAGTGTAAGCAATCATTCATCCACTTCAGGGTGTTGGTTTTAATACCATCTGATCATTCATTCACTGAAATATAATGAAAGTCTGTTTCTTTTACTCAGTTTATCAAAATGTTTCTGTTAACCATTAACTGAAGTTGATGCTGTCTGTCCTGAGGAATACAGAAGCAACTGTTCCATTATCTTGGGGCACAAGAATGATGATTGCTCTGGGTGCTGCAAAAGGACTTGCTTTCCTTCATAATGCTGAAAGGCCAGTAATATACCGGGACTTCAAAACCTCTAACATTTTATTGGACTCTGTAGGTGTCCTTAGCCAAATTACTGAAGAGTCTCCTTTTATCAACTTTTTGATTATTGCATTTTGTTTCTTGGTCAACTTATGGCTGTTGTCTCTGAATATGCAGGACTATACAGCCAAGCTTTCTGATTTTGGGCTTGCAAAAGCTGGACCGCAAGGTGATGAGACCCATGTATCTACTCGAGTAATGGGCACCTATGGTTATGCTGCCCCTGAATATGTGATGACTGGTATGGATGTTGATTATATTTTATCCTACATTTGCATTGGAAGCTAAACAAAATCCCTAGCACTTTGAACAGGGAAATGAATTAATTTCATCTAAGTAAATTATAAAAAATGGCTTCTTTTTTTCATCAGTTTCTAGAGATAATTTAACCAGGTCAAGGGTGGTTGAGGGTCCTTTCCATTTGGTACCAGCACCACTCATATTGCTTGCTTTGTCAGATAGATGAGTGTCTTAACCAGAACAATTTTTGGTAGTATTTGTTTTTTTTTTTTTTTTTTTCCTGGAACTTATATAAGTAGTTTTTGTGATATAAAGTGAGCACATGGCTTTGAATTTCATTTCTATGATCTTTATTAAATAGACACAAGAAATGGGTAGCTGATTTAGAAGCAAATGAAAAGTATTTCAAAGACATTCTTTGTTTGACATGTGAAAAGTTATAGCGTAGGGACATGGGAGAAAATGAAAATATAATATTTGAAAGTAAAAGCAAAGATTGAAGGCAGGGAGGAACTGATGGCCCAAAAATAGGGCAGGGAGCAACTTGCAGGGAAATTAATAAATTTGAGAAGCCACCTTTTTTTGCCACTTCACCTGTTTTCATTATTCAAGAAAAGAAGAAAATGATACTTAAATTCCAAAAAATTATTCTTCCCTGGAAGTTTGGAACCTGACCCTGAAATATCCAGGGGGATTGCAATTTTCCCCCTTAACTTGTTCTGCAAGTAATGGGAATTTGATGCTGGTCTGCATTTATCTCACTGTGAGGCACTTCACTGGTTTTCTAATTCTAATATAAACTTTTGACTAATCAAAGAGACAGTTATGTGCATGTGCCTGATCATGTTTCTTGCATCTGTATGTAACGAGCAGGGCACCTTACTGCGAGAAGTGATGTATACAGCTTTGGAGTTGTTCTTTTGGAGCTACTGACAGGAAAGAAATCTGTTGACAAGACAAGACCGAGCAAGGAACAGAACTTGGTGGATTGGGCTCGACCAAAATTGAATGACAAGCGAAAACTATTGCAAATCATTGACCCAAGATTGGAGAGCCAATACTCAGTAAAAGCAGCACAGAAAGCCTGCAGCTTGGCATACTATTGTCTGAGCCAAAATCCCAAAGCAAGGCCCTTAATGAGTGATATAGTTGAAACGTTGGAGCCTCTACAATGCCCGAATGATGCTGCAAATGAAGTCTCATCATTGTTGACCTCAACAATGACAGGTACCAGTCCTGGTGCATACGCAATGGGGGGAGCCCCTGACTATCGTATGCGTCAAAGGTTTCCAAACAACGCCGGCCCTGGTTCTATTTGTCGGTCTCCTAATCCAAATTGTTCCCCAGGTGGCCCTGCAGCATGCAAAGTCAGATGAGAGTGTTCCCTATCTGTATACATTGGTGTGCCTTTTTTTTTTCCTTGAAACCGTTGAAATGACAAAACTATGCTTGTTAGAACTTAGAAACCCCCGTTGCCTTTGCTTCTCTGTACCTAATGTGAATGTATTCCAGTTAGTGTGAACTATGCTATCCGTTCGAGCTTGTATCACATTGTGTTCTAGCTTTACACATTCTCTGTTCTACAGGGGAATTTTCCCCAGAAGAAAGCTGGGTTTCTGCTTTCGATAATGATGATGGTGATGATGATTGGTTTCTGAACTGTCAGTTAAGGTACCACCACCAGGAGAAAGAAGGACCCAAGGCCAATGACCCTCACAGTTTATCTGACTTGCATAGCATTGCTTGTTGATTTCAGATTGCTCCAACTACTTTCTAGCCTCTAGTCATGTTTATGCCTCTTCTTAATCCTATTGTGTTTGTGGTAAATACAGATTTTTCAGTGTTTGATAACATTTCTTCTCATGACCCACTTCCCCTGCAAAATCTCCTACACAATTTTTCCTCAGAGTCACAGAGTTGGTTTGCTCTCTACCTACACCATGAACGGTATCATAAAACCATTAATACTGCTTCTGTTCATCTCTCAGTTCATTGTTTTTTGAGGTACGTAGATCTTTCTAGCTAAACATAATCTCATTTTGATATGGATTTTGTTTAAATTCCAGTCATGTATGATACATGCAGTAAATTAATGTGGTGAGAACTGTGGTACTTGTATAAGATATTGGCCTGGGAGTTTTAAGGCAGTGGCTCCAACCAAGTACTGCCTGCTTGAAGGCAAACTCGATGGTGAACCACTGCGGAGTCTGGCACCCTTCCAACTCTGCTTGTCGTCCAAGTGTTGCAACACCAGCGCGGCTGCCACTTGCCCACGTTGCGTTTGCTGCTCCGGTATTGACTGCCAGCTTCCCAACAAGGCCTTTGAGGGTCTGACTGAAGAATTTAAGGCTAGGCAACGAAACCTTGCAATTCAAGGCAAAGTAAATATGAAATAACTTGGACTTGTACGTCGGCCTCCCTGCGTTGGGATCTTATGCAAAGCAAGACTGGATTTTCCAATGTTATAGGGAAATGTATGGGTGTTCATATTCGATTCAATCTGATTAATTTGACCTAAATTGATCAAATTCAATCAAAAATCGATCCAAATCGATATAAAATTGGGTTTGTTTGAATTATAAAATTTTAAAACTAATATAATTGGTTTGATTTGTGGTTTTACCTTCAAATCGCTTGAACTGTCTAATTACAAAATAAAATTTGATTATAAAATAACTTAATTAAATAATATAATATATTTTTTGTAGTATTTTAAAATTTCTTTTTCTTATTTTACAAGATAATAACTCTATTAACTTAATTAAAAAATAAAAATATAACATTTTCATATTTCTTAAGTTATTTTTTCATTTTAATCATGCATTCTAACTCTAATTCTAAATTTCTAATTCACCTATAACTCTATCCCCTCAGAATTGGTTTACGTCTTTATTCTTAGAACTCTAAATTTTTAATTTATTCTTAAAATAATCTTGTAATTCTCCTAACTAAATTTTAAATAAGTATCATTTTAAAAGTCTTAAAATTATATAATAAAATTAGTCTTGATATTCTACTATTCTTGGATATTTAGTCTAGAAGTTTTAAATTTTGATTATAAATGCTTCTAATCAATTTTAGTGATATTCATGTTAAATTTTATTCACTTTTAACAGGATTTAGAAGATGAGATTAAATTATTAATACATTAAGAAAAAGACTAATTTTAATTTTTAAGAATTATTTACGTTATGCTAGAAACTTAAAGTCATCTTTTATTGTTCTTGGTGCCTTTAGTGATGTAATCAAGAAGAACTTTCAGATTTTTTCAATTTTTACAAATTTAATGGAGTATAGAACTCGTTTATAATTTGTACTTTTTATTATGTTTTTACTGATTTGCATGCTAATGTGTTTTATGGTTATACTTTCGATTCGATGTTAAAATATTTTTACATTATCTTATATATTTAATAATATTAAAAATCGATTAATCTGACTAAACCACACCAATCCGATTTAAGTTATATTGGTTTGATTATATTATCATATAATAATGGATTGGATTAGTTTAAAAATTTTATTAACCAATTAAATTGGATTGATTTAAAAAAATATATTAAAATCCAAACCAAATCATACTCCAAACGCCCCTAGGGAAATGATTGGTACAATTTGACACACTTTTTGACATTTGTGTAGTTTAGTCATTAAAAATAGGTTTAAACTTTATTTTGGTCCATTTAGTTTAACAAAAAACTTCTTTTTAACCCCCTCTACTTAAAAAAGTCCTCTTTTGATTCATGAAGTTTAAAATCTAACCCTCTTTTAGTCTCTCTATTATGTTTTTGCACATGTGACAAGTTAGACGACAGAAATTCTAAAGTAAAGGAACTAAAAAGGGTCTAAAAAAGTCCCTGTTTAGTTCCTCTGTTTAAAAAAAGGCTCTTTTTAATCCCTTTGCTTTGAAATTTTTATTATTTAATATGATATTTATGTAAAAAGATAAGAGAAATTAAAAAGCGGCTAGATTTTAAATTTTAGGGACTAAAAAGGGGTTTTTTTAAGTAGAGAGATTAAAAAGGAACTTTTTGCTAAAATAAGGAGACCAAAAAGGAATTTTAAGTCTAAAAAGTATAATATAAGCACAGCTGATTTAACTAGTTCTTACATTTTTTGTGTATTATTGTATCTTTAAATTTGTCTATTTTTAATTTTATATTAAAAAATAATATTTTTTAATAATTGTATTGGGCAATATACTGAATCAAAGTATGCATCAATTAGTATCATATGTTATTTTTTTTCTATACCTAAGATAAGACCTAGGTAAAACACAATTGGTTTTGTTTGTACATAATAATAATGTTGGACCTCGTAACACACTAGACTTAAATAGTTTTGTGATAATTTTTTTAATGATACTAAAAGGTCTTGAATTAAAGTCACATGACATACAGTTGAGCTTAGTTAAAGTGTGAAAGAAAATTATCTCTTATTACGTAACTTGAAATAAAATAATTAAAAAATAAAAACCAATTTGGATGCTAAAAATGTAAAATTGACTTAATTAGCTCGGAAAACAATTTTAGTCTTTAAACCAAATCAAATCAATTAAGTAATTAATTAATTAAAAAAATATGAATTTTCTATTTGCATACTTTTGGACTAGTAGTTTATGTTTATTGAGACTTGAGTTCAGAATTAAGACTTGTTTACGATACTGGTGTGTTTTTTAATTTTTATAGGAAGACTCTTTTAGTTTTGGTCTCCATGTGAAACATGCAGTTGGTAAACATGATACCAGTCAATTAATTAGTTTATTGCATGATTATATGTATATATATATATATATATTAGGAGAATGATATGAATTTTTTCTCCTTAATTTCTGTGTTAATTTTAATCCATATCAGTCTCAGTTTCAAAAAAAATTAAAATCACAATCTTAAATGTTATTTTATTTAATTAAAACTCGATTAGATCAAAATTTAAAAATCTATCTTATTAAATGTTAATACCTATATTTAGAAATTGATTGCATTCTAAATATAAAATATCAGAAAAAAATTTTACTTTATTAAATAATGCGTATCTATTTCTAAATGCAAGTATTAACATTTAATAAGATAAATTTTTGAATTTTAAATTAAGATTTTAATTAAATAAAATGACATTATTTAATGTTGGAACTCTAATTTTTTTGTAAATCCTCCAATTTTGTTATATGCTTATTAATTATGTATCATTTTATATGTTTATAATATTTAATGGGAAAAATATGTATCAATCCTAATTATCATAAAAAATTGAAATCCTAATTTCAAGAACACCACATTTTAACATATATTTTCAAAAACCAACTATTATATTTAATATTCCATTAATATAGATTGTGTGTACTAATGACCTGTTGATCTAAGTGAAAGGAATTTGATTTCCTTTAAATAATGTCTCAAGTTCAACTCTTATGAATGGAGAAATGAGCGTTGAGAGAGCTTTCCCCTTATAGGGTGCAACATAAGTGAATTCTGAATTAATCGGGGACTCAATGTGGTTGTTGGATACCCAAAGGTTAGTACAGAAAAAAAAAAAGTATCGATTATGCATGTTAGATTTCAAGTTGATCTAATATCTATAATCATTCAATACAAAAACCTTATATTTTCTAATATATATTTAACAGTAATAAATAATAAATAAACTAGTTATATCTATTCAATCAATCTAAAAATTTATAGGTATGATTTATATGAATATAACACTAAATCAAACTATTAGTTTTTTAAAATATTTATTAAAAATTGGTGTTTTTAAAGTTATATCTTTAATTTTTTTAAGAGTCAGGGTTGATATGCATTATCTCATATTTAATTTTGTTGTGATGCTTTAGTTTGTTAAATTTTTTATTTTTTTGGCCGTCAAGTTTAGTTCGTTGAATGGTTCCTATTTTCTTTGCTTATGAATACCGGTTATTAATATTCTTAATCCATGATATTAGTGTTTAGGAGCTGAACTTGTAAAAAATTAAATAGAAAAATACTTTAAAACTATATCATTTTAATAAAATATTATAAAAAAATAAAACAATATCATTCTTTCTTTAGAAAGTAGGTCATTTTAGTCTTTAGAATAAAAATTTATTAAAATAATGTAATTTTAAAGTATTTTTTCACCTAAAATTTTATAAATTAAGTTTATAACATTTTTCTCTATACTTTCTTAGCATATATATTTGCTGCAATGTTGTG